AACTGTTGTATTTGAATTGACCGGTGGACCTTACCAAAAACTCCAGACTTCATGAAAGCTTTGCTTTCGAGTGTACAAGCATATATGTGCTTAATTCAAGTACCTTCCTTGCCACTCACAACTTCCTCTATTGACCACATGTCGTGCGACTTCACTTAGCATATAACGATCGAAATTTCCTGGATTAGTTAATAGTCCAGGTGAATAGTGATCAAGCAGCTGTAACTCTGAACGGAAGTTCGCCCTTCGCCATAGTTCTATAGGCTAGAATGTTCTTTCTTGCCAATTTTCTGAAAGATATGGTTGAGCGACCGTATTGATGGACCTAGAAGCGATCATTTAGTCCCTGAATTTGTCTCCGAAAAAGTTCACAACAGCATTCGTGTGATGGGTAGTAATGCCTCTCTCGGCCTATTGCATTTAAAGAGAATGTGCGGAATTCATTAATCTTGGATGCTTTTCAAATAGTTTCACAAATTTGCAATTAAGAAATTTACTTAGCCTGACTTAAGAATTCTGACGAGGATCACCTGACTCTTAGCTTCTACCCAGAGCTGGTTCTTTTGATTTTTATGTTAACTTCCCGTGGCAATAATGTTCAGAATTTTGTGACTGCAAGACAGAGAGCTGTTTTCCGTTTCTCCTTGTAGCCTCTGTCTTGAACACCCACATTAAACCGCGTAGTTTTTAGCAAACAGTTCTTTAGAAGCAATACGGACAGCGACGAGGTAAACTGGGATGACCACATAAGTATCCTCAGGTTGTGTCAGCAAGCCTTTTCCAATTTAAAATCATTTAAGGAACTGCCCAACGCATTCGTTTGTGCGCCACTGATGCCATCCAAATACGAAGTATTTTTGCCCCTAAAATCTAAACTACGAAATAGTTTGAGCAACCGGTCCGTAGAACATTTGGCCAACGCTTCACGTCTAACAACTTATGTGTGTTAACCGTTTTTTTTAAAAAAAAACCTCAACCCGTTTGTTACTGAAATGGATTTACGCTGCGTGTATGCGCAGCGATACATTTAAGGAACGCATTTTGGTCCAACATCAGGCTGTTTTAGAATCCTCATTCTTATTTCCATGAGTGGGCACAAAGAGAAGTCAAATTCTTATAACGGGCCTTTTTAGAGGACTTCGTGAGAACGTCCCCAGTTGTTTACTTACAACCCGACATTTGGAGAAACCGTCTTGTTTATTTGCATGTTAGCAGGTTTTTACAGAATCGAAAATGGGGGTTGTCAACAGGAGCTGGTTATAGTTTCACGGTCTAGAACGTCAAACTTGCATCCTTGTTTCCATCGCTTCAAGGTCGCGTCAAGGTCAGACAAGACGTCTAGGCGGGCGGGTACTGCAGCGTAGCTCTAAAAGGGCTATGTCACGCAGCCGCCAAAGTCTTTGTTCTACAAAGGATATCTTGATCACGTCAAGTTCTCTTAAAATATGATTTCGAAATTCCAAACATAAATTTTCAAACGAAGCGCACGTGGTCATTGGAGCACTATTTTCCGCCTGCTGCTTGGATAGGCAGCGTGGTTAACCCTGTCGAACCGAAGTCAGTAGATCAGATTCCCATGTGCGCCATGTCCCCATAAACTGTTTTCAAGGCGACTTTAGAAGATTGTGTTCAGTCTTACTAAGCTATTTTGTACATCCATCCTCATACCTCGTCATGGAGGAGTTTACTTTTTAGCCTTCCATTTTCCTGGCTTCCGAATTCTGTCTATGGTGTTTCCTTTACTCGGATCATTTTAGGCAAAAGGTTCCCAGCGTTTACAAGGTCCTCAAGGAAGCCAATGTTGATTGCATAGTCCTGGCTACAAAGTGGTTTATTTGCCTCTTTGCCGACGTCGTTCCCATGGAGGTAATTTAATTGCCTATCCCGCTTCTCTCCCATAAATGTCTGACTTCAACCCATTCCTCGCCTGTTCATCTCGCAACCTACTTCCTCGACGGGCAAAACATGCTTTGTAATTGAGGACATTATTTAAGTATTGTCGATCTTGAAATCTCTCATTTATAACTTCGTAAACGACTAGATGCAGTGGTCATACAAATCAGAATGAAGTTAATGTGCCTCAACCTAAGGGAATTGACCAGTGAAGGGCCTGGTTACCCCTAGACCAAAACGGAACTGCAACCTTTCGTTTTACAATCAGGATAGCTTGATTAAACGCTACTCTCTTGTGCCTTCAACAACTTGAAGATGCCCAGGTCACAAGTTAGGGAAAAAAAGTTACATGACAACCTTTACTGAGACGAGAACCTCCAAGCAGGCGAAGGCAGCAATTCGCGCCAGCCCTGTGGGC